GTTGGCTTGTTATTCAGTTCTTCAAGTCGGTACACGCTATTGCTTAAACTTTCAATGATGCGAAAAAGGTCGTCCTAATCGGGGGTGAGTTTGCTTCCTCATTTGTTTCATCGTGCATCCAATGTAGCTCGCCATACAAGGTTTCCATGGTAGATAGATATGGGTTTTAGTTTGGAGTTATGGTGGGGAGCAATCTTTTTTGCATGCTTCTTTGTTGATCTTTTCTTTTTCTCTTACTTCGTCGACAAGGGCAAGTTGGATGTTCATGTTCTCATCATTTGTTGTTGGTTCCAAATGGGAACGTCTATAGGAGGATACATTGAGTTTGGCTGGTATCATGGTGTCTATGTTGAATGTCAGGCGAAAAGTGGTCTCCTTGGTGGTGAATTGAGGGGTGTGATGATAGACCCAAAGGATGCTAGGAAGATCATTTGGCCATGCTCCTTTAGAGGGCCCAAGACATTTTCTCGATTTATTTAGGATGACTTTATTAGCTGTTTCAGCTTGACTACTAGCTTGGGGTTCTCAACTAATGGCACCCAGTATGAGATGTCGAGTTCTTTGAGGAAGTTTTCAAATTTGGTTTCTATGAACTTTCTACCATTGGCGACGACTATGGCTTTTGGGAGGTTGTACCAACATATGATGTTTTTCATGTGAATCTTTGGGCATTGTTTGAGGTTATTTTAGCTAGTGGCTCAGCTTCGATCTACTTGGTGAAATAGTCAATGCCGACCAGGAAGAATCTTACTTGTCCTTTAGTCACTGGAAATGGTCCCAAGATATCTATGTCCCACATTACAAAGGGCTAGGAAGAGTGATTGTTGTACAACTCATCTTCTGACTGATAAGTTAGTGTGTCAAACTATTGACAGGTCAAACATTTCTTGGTAAAGGATAAACAATCTACTCAGAGGTTCAGTGTGGATGAACATGAGAAGGCTAGTTTGACTTGGTCAAATTAGGTGATATATCTACTAACTTTGTTAATAACTAATTTTTATATAAAAAAATTGACTTCTTAGTTATTTTAGCAATTAATAGGACTAAGTGATAATAGGTTAATGAAAAAATATGAACATTTATAACTATTTAAAAAATTAAAAAATACTAAAATCAAAAGACAAGTATATTACATGAATCAAGGACTTGTAGGGAATCATCGCATTTTTATATTTTATTTTAATTATATATTTTAAATAAACTATATTTTAATTTATTATTTATAGAAAATAATATATAAAAACTAATAAGTTTTACCAAAAAATTATATATAAAAACTAATAAGTAAGAAAGAATTTAAAAATAAAATATTAATAATTAAATTATATTTTTAGTTCAATGTATAATTTTGTTTATTATTTAATTTTTTTCAATAATTTAAATTATTTATATAAAAAGAATTAATTTATATTTTTAGTAAGTATAACAACGAAAATATTAAAATAAAATCTTAAATCTAATAATAATTTGAAACGGTGGGGATGGGAGCGTGATGGAGAGTTATTATGTCTCAAATTGAGAAAACTCGTACCCGAATTTGAAGCATGTTAAACCAAATTTCCTCCGTCGAAATCGGATTAAGATCGGAGGGATGTCGTGAATTCGAATTTAATTGTGATGCCTATGAGTATATGATAATATAATATTTGTCATAGGAAATATATTTGCTTATATAGAAAAGTAACTTAATATATCAATCAAACACGAAATATTCAATTTGGTTCTTGAAAGTGGGAAGAGATGGCTGATAAATTTTTGAAATTTTTTTCATATATTTGAGTTCTTAAATTTTAATTCTATTATGTAAGTTACTCTTTTGTTATATTTAATTACTAATTTTATTAATTTTCTTAAATTAAGTTAAGTGTCAAGTTGATATTTATTTTCTCTTCATTTTAGTCTCGCCTAATCATGTAATATAAATCATATTGTAATATTTTGATATTTTATAGTTAATAATAGACATTTTGTCATATTTAAAAATTATGGTCATGATTATTTTGATTAAAATAAAATGTTATTGTTGGATTTTGTAAGATTTCTTATAATTGAATTTTTTTTGTTTTAGTCATTCTTATTTTTTTCATCTATTCTAATTACATGTTTAGGATTGTAAATCCTAATTATTGTATTTAAAATTTAATAAAATGAGTGATCATTTTCAAAGATCTCAAATAAAGATATATATCAACTGAATATAAATGTTTTTACTATGTTTAATGAATCACAAATTAAACACTTTTGGTAAAAGTGGAGAAGAACTTAATGATAATAATTTTCTCTATTATTACAAAATACAAGAATGGAAGTGAGTAGTTAAAAATAAGTCATTCAAAAATTACTTTAATCATTTTTAAATTAAATCTATTTTATCACACGTTTCAATTTACTTGATTAGTGTCGATCTGTTGTATGTCATTTAAGATAAATAATACATATCAGTGACAATTATCTATTGGTCGGTCATGAAACTAACAAAATTAGTAATGAAATATAACGAAAAATACTAAATTGTATAATAAAGTTAAAATTTAGAAACACGTCAAATAATTTTTTTTTTATAAAAAAAAAGCTCTTAAGAATCTATGAGCCACCTCCGTGTTGAAAGTATACGTGAATGAAATAAACGTTATAATGCGATCACTTTCACACACGTTCTCTTATTATTACTCTGCAGTCTGCACACACTTGAGAGCCTAAACGCTGGCCAGCATTATAATAATGCATACTATTATTTATCTTGTGTACAACAACATTCCATCAAAACTCATGCTTCCATTAATTAAGACCTAAGGGCATCTCTAATATAAATAATTTATTTGAGTTGTTTTATACATTAAAAAATAAAATAAGTAATTTTCAGTGTGTTATATCAATATTAAATAATTTAAACGCAAATTTACTCTAATACTAAGAAACTTTAAGAAATTCAATTTTTAATTTTTTTTCTAATCATTTATGAACCAAATTTAAATTTTTATTAAAAATGATAATTGCACTACAGTGAAAGTAAATAAGTTACGAGAAAAAATACACAATAAGTAGATATTAAAAATAAAATAAAGCACATAAACATTATACAAAATTAATTTTTATCATTATTATTTTTGAAACGTTTCCAAATATGTTCAATAAGATCTGCTTGAAATGTGGTAAGGAACGGTTGCTTGAAGAAACAACTCTCTCTTTTCTTCAAGCAACTCATGTTGCCACGTCAGAGTCCATCAATGACAAAAAATCGAGGCTTGAGTTGTTTCATAGGACAAACAACTTCCATTGAAGTTGCTCTAATCCCTTTCCCTTTCCTAATAATGATGCTAATTATTCCTAGTATAATAATGTATACTATTATTTATCTTGTACAAATGCTTTTTCAGAGAAGTAGGGATTACTCAAATTGTTCGTACGTGTGTTTTTTACTCAAATACTAACATTTAATTCCTTGGTGAGAAGAAGTTAAGGTGGTTTGTTTATTGATGGTTTAGGGGAGGGATATAGGATTGGAGTGTTAAGGAGGAAATAGATTTAAATCCCTTACTAATTAACATAACAATCAAGAATTAATATTTTTTGATAAAAAAACAAATATATATCTCTTTATATTAAAAAAAAACAGAAATTAGTTCGAGAAAACTATATAAAAAAGTTTTATATCTTTCGGGAACGGGAACATATTAAATGACTTACTAATGAAAACTAAGTGTGATATATAGTTAAATTAAAAGAAAAATGCACATTTATTGTATATATAGATCTATAGTTATCATTTTTCACAATCAGAAAATTTCTCACTGAGTACTCTTTCTTTTTGTTTCCTATTTTTATTTTCAATTATAAAATGTCATATTATTTTATTTAATTTTCTATTTTAAAAATGTATATAAATATTATAAATAATTTATTTATACATATAATTTATAATAGAAAAAATTGAATAAGTATTGTAATAGTAGAAAATGTAATTATTTTTTTGAAAAAATTCAGTAATCTTTCGTTACCATCCAAAAAGCTAGATAAATATATAATGGTATTAACAAAAAGCAATTTTATTCGAATCATATGAGAGCATCCACTAAAGATTCAAATTTCAATTTTGTGGGTTCACTACTTTGAAGTGCGTTAATCTCTTCCCTAAATTCAATTTTTGTCAGTAATATAATTGACACTTTGAGTAAAATCCAAATTGCATAATTGAGTTTTGAAAAGCAGTTATTAGTGTTAATTCGTTGTAGTTTTAACTTTTCATCTTTTATTTAATCTCGTAATATATCAATTGCTTTCAATTAATGTACCCAAAGAAAAAATTGCACTCAATTACGTTCTTGTGATGAATTATTTTCCTTAAATCGACAAATCGCTATGGAATCATTTGAAGGAGCTAGGTAGTTATGTCACCCCTTATTTCATGAGTATGAGGTGGTCTCATTATCATCTATTGACTTGGTGGTGCTATATTACCCTCCTTTTCTTGACCATGACCATGAGGTGGTGGTGTGTTACCATCACCATCTCTTGACTCAGTGGTGGTGTGTATTACCCATCCGTTGACCATGGTGGTGTCACCATCCCCTTTAATTTGTTGAATCTCAGTAACAATCTTAACAAGTCCATGATGACAATCTTGAAGGAAGGAAGGGTGAGTTAATTTCAGATTTATAAAGTTCTTATTCAAAAAAATTATGTACTAATGTAAAAGAAACTTAATGGTTATAATTAAGTATGTTTTAAGTGGATTAATAATAGAAATTGATATGTTGGGTGCTTTATATTCTTTTCTTTCAAAGAGAAGAAATATCATTCAAAGATTAAGAAAAATCTTGCCGGTTATGGGTTACATCAGAAACAATCTCAGCTGCAATATCCTCCCTCCAGACATGATCCAAATTAAGAAGAAAAATTTAGTTTAGCTAAAGAATCAACCAATATGGGTAGTGTTTTTCAAAACCATGAATCTAAGAAGCGGTAAACGTGTTCATACTGCTTCAAGCCACTACTGTAATTTATCACAAGGGCGGCTAATAGGATTAAGGACATGGCACAAAGCCTTACTTCACAAAGGGCGAAGTGGAAACACGTCACCACGCACTCATGACTTGGAGACAGTGTTGTGTGCTTATTATAAATTGCAACCTCATTCCTTACAATACTCCATGTTCCACTAGCTAGTGCTTTAACTTAGTGTATGTTCCCTGTGGTCCCCTTTTATTTTCTTCCAAACTTTAGCCTTTGAATTGAATCCTCAAGTTTTCAGTTGATTCTCATCTTGTTTAGAGTTTGTTCTCAAGGTAATCTTCTTTGGTGTGGTTCTTCTTGGTAACACTCTTCTGCTAGCTATTTCTAGTTATTTGTGGAACTTGTTTGTGTCATGCCATCTTGGCTTTGGTGTTGTCTTTTCTTGTCTTGTCTCTCAAACCGAATATGCTTTGGTTGAGACTTGAGACTAGAGTATATTTTAGAATTTGTCTTATGTTTTTCTCTTCTATTTTACTAAGAACTTTGCTGTGCAAATGGTATTTTGTCACTGCATATTTTGTGATGGACTTTGAGAATTAGCAGACTCAGTTAAACTACCTTGAAACCAATTGAAAGTAGTTACTCTGTTGTCTCGAAGTGCCAAAAAAACAATTCATTTTGAAGTTGTTTCAGTAGTTTGGATAAAGATTGACTCCATTATTGATTGTATAATTCTTGGATTCACAATCTTGCCACTTTATAGGAAGCCTCCAACCAAAAGTTTTTCCATTAAGTTTAGGTGAAGCCACCTGTGGAGTTGTGCAAGTTTAAAAGTAAACTAGATGTGACATAAGTGTTCAACCTCTAAATTTTTTTTAATTTTATTTTAACTTGCTTATGAAACATTAGTTTTTAACTGAGCCAAATGACATCATATAATCTATGTAGTAGGCCTAACTCACCCAATGAGATAAGATTTTGTTGTTCTTGTTGTTATTGTTGTTTTCTTTTAGAGTTTATAATTATTTATTTATGATGCAGTCTCATGTCAGTCTCAGCTAGTCCAACATTGCTGTTAGGGGATCGACCGTGTGAAAATGGATTTGAATGTGTTAACATTCTCCCTGCCACCAATGATGCACATGGAGGAGTCATTGTGGACTTAAAAGAGGCTATGGACTCTGAAGTTTTTGCTACTTTGCTTAGATCTTCACTTGTACATTGGAAGCAACAGGTGAATATTATGATTTAGAGCCTAAAATAGTACTTTGTTGATATAAGTTCTCCTCTTAAAACATTTAGCCATTTCTTCATGCCTATTTTCACTTTCTTGCTTTAGGTGTAAGAAGTAGTTCATGTGGTCGTATGATATCATTTGTTTGACTAGAAAACACCTTTTCATGAGTAAAAACTTGAAGCTAATGTTCTTCTAAGAAGGGATTCTCTTTAGATTCTGTTGACCATACACCTTAAGACAAACCATTAAATAATACATCATGAAGTCATACTCCAATTCATTGCCTTCAAAGTCTTCATTAATGCTACATGCACATTATGGATTTTTGTAACCTCACTCAACATTTCAAACCTATATATGATGTATGTGAGTGCACATGTGGGATGTGTATAAACCCTATTTGTATAAATGCCAACATTTTTGCTGCATAATTAATTGCATATTATATTGTTCTTACCTAAAATTTATTCATCCATAAAAATGAAAACATGTGACCTCTAGTTAGCCTTTATTAACTTTAGTGTGCATTGCAGGGGAAAGATGGTGTTTGGATCAAATTACCTATCGAGCTTGTTAATCTTGTTGAAATTGTAGTTAAGGTAATTTTGCCATATTTTAAGTTTTGTTATAAATTGTTTTTATGCGTGGTTATATCAGATTCAATAATAAAAAAAACTTGTGATAGTGACGTAAAAAAGAATGACAAACCCATATAAACCAAATTATAACTATGGTTTAATGTTCTCTATTATCTAATGCTGAATGCAATAGAAATGTTTGTCTAGTGTTTGATAGATGCCACATGTTAGCCTAATTTTATCCATTTCATATTCAAAGCATCTTGTGTCATATTTGGTCATTTTGGGTAGGTACTTGTGTAAGGTGAAAGATGATCACATCAATTTCTATTCTATTATATTTTATTTGTTCCTATGTGATGTCAAATAACTAAATCTAAGGAAATTGATGGAATCTTGATATTTGTGATTTATAACAATTTGGTCATAAATGTGCTTTGTGTTATGTTTCTTGCAGGAGGGATTTTGGTACCACCATGCTGAGCCAAGCTATTTGATGCTAGTTTACTGGATTCCCAAAACAGGTTGCACAATTCCTCCAAATGCTTCACATCGTGTAGGAGTTGGAGCTATTGTCATAAATGATAAGAAAGAGGTCTAACATGAGATCAAAGTTTGGTTATGTAGATCCATATGTTTTGTTACAAATAAAGGAATAATCAATCTTGTTTCAAGTTGGCATTCTAAATTGTTATTCTTTTAACTCTTTCTTCCTATTTTTTGTTCCCTTTGTAGGTGCTTGTTGTTCAGGAAAAAAGAGGTGGATTCCATGGGATTGGTGTTTGGAAGATACCTACTGGGGTAGTTGATGCAGTATGCACACTCTTAAAGACAAATTTCATCTATGCTTCAAAAAAATTCACAATTTGGTTAGCAACATGAAAGTTGGTTTTGTACTTGCAGGGTGAGGAGATTTTTGAAGCAACTATTAGAGAAGTAAAAGAAGAGACAGGAGTAAGTATCAAAGAATAATTTTTCATTCCCATATGTTATTCACTTTCATGACTTTTACTTTGGTTTTGGTTTGTTTTATTCTTATTCAGATTGATACAGAATTTGTGGAAGTATTAGCATTCAGGTATGAATTTTCTGATTTGTGACACCTAAAACATGAGAGACACCTTTTAATTTGTGCTTATATTATATCAAGGCACCAAGGTTTAGTATACAAATTAAAAAAGACATGTTAATACTTTTTTTAGGAGAAATAACATAGATTATGGATTTAGAAAGGAAATTTCCTACAAGCAGGCCAAATAGAATTGGCTAAATCAAATTACATGTGGTCTGTAATTTAATATCATTTAAGCTCAAGGGAAAGACTTGATTGAGGAGTTTAGGACACTTGCTTTACTTTTTCTCTTCTAATCATTAGTTTGGAAAATTACATTTTAATAAACTCAAGGTCGTTAAAATAATTGAAAGTTTCTAACATGTCTTGACCTGACTTTCTTTTTTGTAATTTTTCTTGTGACATTCTCATGTTTCTAAATTTCAGGCACACACACAATTCATTCTTTGGAAAATCAGATTTATCTTTTGTTTGCATGTTGCGTCCTCTTTCTTTCGACATCAAAAAGCAAGAATTGGAAATTGAGGCAGCTCAGGTAGTTTTGTTTGACTATGTCACATCATGTCTTTTTTTCTTTTTTTTTCTCTTAATGTAAATAACTAACAAATTAAACTCTAAAAACATGAAAAATGATAGATAGTACGAAATGACTATCCGAAAATCTATCCAAATATATAAAATGATAATTTAAATTATAAAACATTAAAATAAATAATTATTTTATAATAAATTTATTAAAAAATATTAATATTTTAAATTTCAAAGAATGATGCAGATAAATTTTTCAGACGCTGTATCTTTACTCTAAAAATATAGATGCAAAATATAGAAAGGTCATATCACATCAATGCATCAGCAACACAATAGTCCAATTGTGCAAGAAAGCACCGAGAAAATATTAACTGAAAGCACAAAAGAATTGGTTGTGAGAAAAAATTTAAGAACAAATCATGGTTATATTTATAAAACGTGACACATTATGTGATCACTATCTATATAATAAACTTGTTCAAATACTCTTTAATCAACATACTTTTTTATTGGTTCTAATGATTGTCCTTCAAGTTGTTGAAGAATAACTATGAAACTAATTATAGTATTGGAATCTAGGCACATACATGATAAAGGATACTTTTTGTTCCAAGTTCCTCAAATGAGAGTTGATAAGATGCATGTTGATGTCTTATTCTATACTAGAATTCAACATATCAATTATTTCTGACTTTTCATATAATCCATTGTTGTCATATATTTACCTCATTACACTAGTGCTACTATGATCATATTTTTCCATTTGGTCGATGATGATAGGTTGTTTTGCAATTTTTATTCGTGGACTAGCTCTATAGAGAAAAATTGTAATGCAAAAATTCAAATACTAATATTATTCTTATCCTAAAATCAAATTGATAACATTCTAAACTTAAATGATAATAACATATTTATCTTTATTTAAACAATATTTTAAAATTTTAAAACATAACAAACTTTCTACAAATTGAATTTTTTTTTTAAATTAAAGATATTTATACATATTCTCAAATGATACATTTAATTCTCTTGACTAAAATTTTTTTTTGTTGTGCTTTGTATTTTGTGACAAAGTGGATGCCATTCGAGGAATTTGCTAGTCAACCTTTTAATAAGATGCACGAGCCCTTCAAGTACATGATTGAATTGTGTTTGGCAAAGGTGGCAAATGTCTATAATGGATTCTCTGTGAGGCTTTGCTCATCATATTTCGCAAAGGAGTTGAATTATATATATTTGAATAGCCATGACCTAGATAAGTCTTCTTAAGTTTTCCAAATCATCATAAGAGTTTATGTTGATATTTCTTTCTTGTAAAACTTGTTGGAATTTGATGTATTAGTGTTGTCTAATTGTTGAATTAAATTTTAGATTATTAATATTAATTATAAAAATAGTATTTATGATATTTTTGTTGATTAATATTAGTTGTTTACATTTATGGTGTGTGCTTATGATGGACCATGCCCTCATTTAGTAACCAAAAAATAAGGAGTCTTTGTTCTCTTTTGCGTGGTTATAAATTTGTCACCTCATTAGGTAATTTTGTGCAATACGATATTGGGTGAAAACTTTAACTTCTGGACAAAGAGGAACATCTCCTTCATTTCATTATTCATGATTTAGTGGAGGTAACAAACATGAACTTTCTTTTCTTTCTTTGTAAACATGCCCTTTTTTAAAAAACTTTTTTGTTGCTGTATAATTATGAACATGTTATGACTATGCATCATTTGTCATTAAATTTTTATCAATTGATATCAAAGCTTGGATTGATGCATGTTGCAGTTGTTTTTATATTAAAATTACAATTTTTGAATTCTATAAACTATATCCTTCCTCCTTTTAATTTTAGGTCATATAGGGCTAAACAATTCAGGGTTTTTTCGATCATAGAATTTTGGTGTACCTTAAATTAAATAAAATATTTTAGAAAAATATCCCAAAATTTTGCTTTCGTTTTCCAAAAGATTGAGATTGAAAAAACATTCTTTGAAATTCTCGAATCCGTATATTTTAGGTATGTTTTTCAAAATTGATGAAGGAATTTCCATATTGTTTGGCCTTGCGTATGCATTATAAAATGTGTTAATCTCATTGGATTTTGTGTATCCAACAATTAAGACAATTTGTGATCAAATCATTGTTGAACTCGTTACATTACATACTTCATTACGATCTTATTAACGTACAAACTTGATTATTATTTTTTTTTCAAAATTGAGACAGGATTATAAATGGTTGGTTAATGGATTGCATCCATAACTCGTTTAGAATTAAAGAGAATTTCACAATTTCTTGCATTTATGATTTGGGTTGGAAAAAGAAAAGTGAGCTTTTGTACTCCAATTCTCACTAATTTTCAAACAATATAGCAAATTGTTTTCTAACTTCTGATCGTCCTTGCTAGAAGATCTAATATGCAAATTTTCTTCTTGAAAGATTAAACCATGTGGAAGAATTTCATGAACTTCTATTTTGAACCCAATTTTGCGCCTTCAATCCATAATTCTCACAACACAATAAAAAAATTCAAGCAATCGACAAGTCGCAAATCTATGCCTAAAAATCACCCAAGAATGTACTAGATTGTAGGAGATTTTCGCAGGATAAATTCACAAGTTTCTAACCCATTTTTAAAATCATTTTTTATTCTTTACTAATGTGAACTCATAAGGCCAATAAAGTGTGAGCTCATTATGGACCCATTTTGGTTCCAAAATAATTTTAAAATATAGTTTTGGATTTTTATGTACTTTTCCCAACATTTTGGATACTCTTAAATATTTAATATCAATTTATTTATGAGTCTTTTATTTGTTTTTAATATTGTACTATCAGATTTTGGACCTAAATTTTTTTTATGCATGACTCAAATAATATTACATAAATATTAGTGTATATTCTACTTTGTCCGACTACATATTTTGTTTAATAAATTAAAGTTGGGTGATTATGTGATTTAAATAATTTTCTTTTCAGCATTTGTATTCATTAACTAAAAATTGAGATTTGATCATTGCCTTAGACATGAAGTCACAATATCCTGCGAAAATAGATTAACTCAATAGGACAAGGTTATAATTCCTAGTCATATAAAAAAAATAATTTGTTATGAATATTGATTTGTTTTCAAGCATAATTGTTAATATTTTGAATAATTTTCATCTCATTTATTTATATAAAATTTGTATTTCTATATTTTTTGTGTTTAATATGATATTAATGATAATTATACTTATTGGTATAATATTAATAACGTTATTTGTGATTGATAAAATGTAATTTGGTTTTGTTTGTATGAATTTTATTCTAGTGCTTAATTAGTATTGTGATGTTTTCTTGTGGCATGAAATTAAACATTATATATGTGTGTCTAGTTAGGATCCATTGAAATCATGATGTCAAATTAGTGAAATGATATGACTCCTTCAATATTTTTTTATAGAATGCAAATTCAACTGATTCAATCTTTGTATTTGATGATATTACATTCATGATCATGCATAATGAATTTCACATGATTTGGACTTTTTTAGATATGCTATCTAATAGTACATATGTACATGTATTTTGGATATCGTTTTATACATTAAAATAAAGTAATTTGATGAGCCATAGTTTCAAAAATTGGCTTGAATTGGTCAGTTAAACCGGTTAGATTGGGACCATTGGTCGATTGATTCAAGCCTTTAATTCAATCATTTATGTTACTGACTCAGTCATAACTGTTATGATTTGACCAATTTTTTAGTTCAACCATCGAATCAAAGCACAAGTAAGATCGGTCAACTTACAAAATGTTAAAAGAATATTGTGCTAGATGGTATTCAAACCTTTATATTGATAGTTACATAAGAGTTGCATTACCATTAGACCAGAATATTTGTTTAGTAAGCATGTGATATAAGTTATTTTATAGCTTATCTTTTCATTCTTTTGTTTTAACTAGTGTCAAACATATAAAATATTAAATTATATTTATAGTATGTGCGTTTGTTATGTCTCAATGCTTAACTAACTTTATTTCTTCATATAAAATAAAAATATAAAGGTAATTCTAGATTAGATAAGACTTGAATCGAGGTAAATATAATTATTTAATCACCTTAGTGACCATTGAACCAACATACTATATTCTTATACAAATGAGTTAAATAATTTATATAATAAGTTCCAATCTAAAATTATATTTTTAATTATATATTAATTTATGCAAATTAGTCTATAATTAAGTTGTTTTGTTAGTATTATGTTGATTATAAAAAAAAATTGGAAGCTTCTTTAAGACAGTATGAATTTTATTAAAATTTATAAGTATGAAATATATGACATGAATATTTTTTAAAAAAATTAAATAAAGATAAGATCATGTAGTTTAATTATTAACCCACTAATTGAACTTCTGACTCACTAATCTAGTAGTCTAATTGGTTTAATGATTGTTCCAATTTTAAAACATTGCCATGAATTCTCAAATAATTTTAGAATTGTATGGATTTTTTATACTTTATCTATTTTGTAATATCATCAAATATAATAATTAGATGATTAAATTTGCATTCTGTAAAAATGATTGAAGGTTTCATTTCACTAATTTGAAATCATGGTGTCGACGAAACTTGGCACACATACACACACACACATATATATATATACATATACATATACATATACATATAGAGAGGAGGGATTCGTTTACTCTATAAGCAAGTCTACTTAGACTTACTTCATTTAATAACTCATGTTCTATATCAAATTTCAATGATCCAACCGTTAAATTCAAAGCTTTTAATGCATAGAGAAAGTCTACAAATTTTTAAAAAATTTGAAAACTATTTGATATTTCGTTTCATTAATTCAAATCAACATATAAAATATTTTTATAATTATTCGCCAATTTGAATTAATGAAATGAAGTATCAAATGGTTTTCAAATTTTTAAAAAATTTGCATATTTGATCTATGCGTTAAGAACTTTAAGTTCAATGGTTGAATCATTAAAATTTGATGTAAAATATGAGTTATTGAGCATAATAAGTTTAGGTATACTTACTTTTAGAATAAACAGATCCCTCATTATATTCATACATACATATATATATATATACATACATATATATATATATATATATATATATATATATATGGGACTCTTAGGCGGTATTATGGTGGATAAGAGAATATGTATGTTGAGCATATTGTGTATATTAAAGCTTTTAGCTTTTATTACTAAAATAAATATTGCTTAGAAGATATTTCATAAGAGACAGGGTAAAGTATGTTTGATGATATCAAGGTACACCATGTAAAAGTCCATTAGACAAAACATTACAAAAAAAAAAAGTTGTGTGAAGACTAATCTAAAGTTAGTTGGTGAAAAATAGGAATTTTGAAAATGCTAAAAGAAAGTTATTATGTCCCCCAATTTTTTAACACCATGTATGATCTTACTAGTAGTGTTTGTAGGCATATATAGATTATTATACATTATTGAAACAAGATGAAATCCATGCAACTAGAAATTGATTTAAATACCTGATATGAAAGATTATAGAGTCATTACCTTCTTAATTTGGTGTTATGAAAACCTATTATAATACTTAGAATCATAAGTGGGCCATTAATGAGACCATTGTTATTGTTACTCAAGAGGATAAATCTATGAAGAAGGGTAAATCTCATTTTGTGCAATATCTAAGAGCTAATAAAAAGCTCTTCAAAGGGAATTGATAGTATTGTAAGAAGTTTGGACATAAGTTCAGTGGCTATTATATTTCAAGAATAAAAACTAGAAGGAAGGAGTTCATTAATATGATGAAGTCGAGTATTAGATCATTGTGAAAAGTTTTCTTAAATATACCTTCTAGACATGCGTTAGTTTTGTGTTTTATCCACTGAGAAAATTTTGTTTTTAATTGTAACTTTGAGTAATTGTAGTTAATTTGAGTTCATTGTTGTTGACTTGATAGTTTTTTTATATGTTGGATTTGAATGGCATGTTATTGTTGTTATCACCTTCATAAACAACTTGTTTGGTTATGGTTAATTTGATTTTATTTATATGCCTTCAAGGTTTCCTTTGAGTTGAAAACAAGCAAGAATATAAAGTGTTGAGGTTTATTAAAGGCTTCATGACAAGGTGTAGTTTAGATGGTGTTAATTGTTAACGCACTTTGACTTGGAAATATACAAAATAGATGCTAAGACATTTTTTTTTCTAAATGGAAATCTATTTAAGGCTAGTAGGAAAAAAAATTCATGACTCTTATCTTACATGTTGGTGACATACTCTATGTTAACAATTGATTAAGATTGTGACTAAGATTACTTGTTCATTAAGAAATTATTTTGATGTGAAGGGCTTAAGTATTACTGCAAGTTGTTTATGAATCCATTTTTTTATGTGATAAGACACGTGAAATTATTGGAGGGTCTTAGAGAGGATTCAAATGATTATATATGTATTCTAACTTCATGTGTTGTGCTTGTTCAGAGAATAAAAAATTTCATAAGTCTCAATGTCCTTAGAGTGATAGGGAGGTAATTGAAATAAATAAGGTCTTATTTGTTATTATTGTTAGCAACTTGATGTATGCTTAAGTTTGCATTTGTCCCAATATTGTTTTGGTTGGTAATGCTTTGAGAGATACTAGAGAAACCCATTTTCTGGCCAACTTTAAGTCATTATTTTTATAGGCAATCTTGGTAGCTAAAAGTCTACTTTTGGCTTCGATTTTATGATATAAGAGTTTTCCATTGAGGAGTATCAAAACACTTGTAATTACTTTTGTCATTAAGACAAGGTATGTCACGTACTAAGAGGCTACTTGTCAAGTCATAAGGTTGATGAACTTTATTTTTGGCTTTCACATTGTTGAAAGCATATTTGTACCATTTGTAAGGATAATACTATTGTTATGCATTTCTATCAAATAATTGAATCAGTCTTACAAATTACTTTTGGTATTCATTATATGTTTTGAGTGTTATGAGTATCCATTGATTTCAAATTAAAGGTTTAATCCAAAGTCTCGTGTTTGCCATTACTCATAGGTATAAACTCTTATAATGGTCTATTTAGGAATCTAATTAGGTTTAGTGTTATTCTTATGAAATGTATCCTTGTATGTTAGGTGAATAATGTTTTTAGAATCACCTTAGTATCACTTACATAACTCAAGATAGGGTCATATTAGTGAATAAAGGTCAAACTATCAAAATTAAACAATGATTGTGCCTTCTTTGTAATTTTAGGTAAAGTAAATGGTTAAACTAGATCTTAAGGTCAACATAGAAATTGTATATAATCCTCGTAGATTTTCAAAGAGATAAATACCAACTTGATATCATTATTATAATCCTAGATATCATATTTACACCCTACAAAGGTCATAGAATCATAAGAGAAAAAAAAGGAAATAATACCTGGTAACTTAAGAATATGAGCCTTGAATATATATTTAATCTGGTATGATAGGAGAATAATGTAAAATAGGAATATATTGATAAGTGCATGATTTAGTTGGTTGGGTTATTGTGTTAACATGGTGTTGTGTGTTGTTTGTTTCTTATGCAATTATAAATGATTATTTATAAGAATCTTTTGTCCACCAAAGAATGAATGATATGATGTTTGCAATGAATGAGTAGTATTATGTATGGTATGAGATAACATGATGAATGTTATAGATGTTATTTGAATGAGAACCCAACTTAGAGAGGTAGGTGTCTCCTTATGCAAACTTCTCAAACCTTAGCCAATTGTTTATGGAGGTAGGTTGTACCTTAAAATGATATTATGTAAGTTCTAGTTCGAACAAGTTTAGATAACACGTTTAATCTTAGTAAGAAGGGTATAATAATGTATGCTAAGAATACCTTACTTTATTGGTAGCCTTAAATTTGCCCATAACAAACATTTCCAAGCATAAGAGAAAAGAAGTGTTGAGTGTAAATAAGAATAGTTCAACTAACTAGATAGAATTGTATGCTAAATTAATGATAATAATAATAATAATAATAATAACAATAACAACAACAATAACAACAACAATATTAATAAGCTAGTATAATAGTTGTGAGTATTATCACTTGAAAGGTAAAGATCTAACCATAGGTATGGATATGTATTATAGACCCGATTAAGATAAAACCATGAGTCTTAAGTAAAAAAGAATTGTTTGGGTAGAAGTGTCCAACGCATTTCTAGAGTCACCAGAGCACTCGCTAACACTTATGTCTCATTTTTTTAAGTTTCCATTTTTTTACAGGAAAACAGGTGAATGAACATTTGAAGGAGTTGAAAGTCGTACGCATGAGGACTTAGTTTAATTGATGTTATTTACCAAGTTGTCTCTATGTTGTATGAAACCTATGGATAAATAAATTGCAATAGATGAGTATGATAATTATGTTTTGTAATCATATAAAAATATGTTTATGTATTTAAGTGTTTCCGCATAATGTTTAAATGTTTTAAAAACACTTCAAAATCTAAGAAACCTAAGTCTAGTCATGGAAATACTCTCAAGGGTGTTACAAATCTTGATTTTCAAGTCAATCCAGCATTGCTTAGTTTGTTGAGCCAAGACCAATTTGCTGGGGGCAATTTGGAGGATCCAAATGCTCACATCTCTAAATTTTTGGAGATAAGTGAAACAGTGAAGTTCCAAGATGTCCCTGAAGAAGCTGTCAAGATGAGACTTTTCCCTCTTACTCTAAAAGATGATGCGAAGGAGTGGTATCAAACCCAACCCAAGAAAGTCTTTACCTCTTGGGAGATAATGATTGAACGGTTCATAGACCATTTCTTTCCACATTCTCTTTATTTCCATGGGAGAAATCAAATCATCAATTTTATGCAAAAGGAGGGAGAGGACCTATTTGATACATGGGAAAGGTATAAATGTCTTCTTAAGAAATGTCCTCATGGGTTTGATGAATTTGAGCAAGTACATTATTTTCTTATTGGATTAAGGAGCCAAACTAGGATGATCCTTGATGCCTCAGCTGGGGGCAACATGAAATCGAAGACTGCTAAAGAAGCTGTGAATATCATAGAGAACATGGCTTCTAATGAATATAGCTTTAAATATGACAAAGGCCCAAGTTCTAGAAGGGGGACCCTAGAGCTTGATACAAAAAGTGCTTCACAAGAACAACATAAACTCGTTACAAATCAATCGATTCCTCTCACTATACAATTAAGGCCCATGCAAAAAATAGGTCAATAGTCACAATCAACATCAGGTCAAGCAATGCAAGACTTATGTTTTGTAGTTAGTGGGGGACCTCATGTTAATGGAAATTATGATTTTAAAGAAAACTCCCCTGAGAATGTTAACTAAGTCCAAAATGATGACCAGTCTAGTACAAGACCCTATTAGTAGCAACAAAGTGAAAAAAAAAAAAAAAACCTCTATGGATGATATCTTGAAGCGATTCATGCAGACAAATACTACCTCCTTTAAGAATCAAGATGCCTCTATCAAAAACTTGGAGAATCAAATGATCAAATTGCTACACATGTAGTTAAGCTCTTTAGTAAAGGCTTCACAAGCAACACAACGAACAACCTAAAGGAGCATTATAACGTTGACACTCAAAGGAGCCATAAAACCAATGATTTTGCAGGTATAAAGTTTGAAATTAGAGATACGGATGTCTTTAAAGAACAACCTCGAGACAAAGAAGAAGAAGAAGAAACTAAGAAAGAAAAAGTAAAAGACTCTATAAATATATATAAGACTAAAATTGGTGGATGAAAAGCTCGTGCTCATAAAAAGTAAAGAACAACTTTTGGAAGGAGACAATTCATAGAAGGTTCCTTCCTAGACCATAATTCCATATCCTCTCAAGAAGAAGAAGTATAAGGATTAAGTAATTACAAGATTTGTAGATATTTTTAATAGGCTTCAAATTAATATTCCTTTTGTATAAAACCTTGAGCAAATATCCACAAATGCTTGCTTCATGAAGGACATCCTCACTATTAAAAGAGAGAAAAAAAGAGACATAGATGTTGAAACTGTGTATTTTAATGACGTTAGTGAGGCATGTTTATATAGGTTTATATCAATGAATTGGAGATATTTTGTTTCCCTTAAATAAGATATTTTGTGCCTAATTACTTTATTACAATATGATACTCTATATTTCCATTAAGTTATGGCCTATAAATCATATACACCTAACTTGTTATATATAAAGCTAATTCACGGACCCCTCAGATTTATTATGAACATTTTACAACTGATCACTAAAGTTGATAAAGGTAGTTGTAATTTCTCTAGACTCAATCTTCTCCTTGGTGAAGTGGAAATCGACCTCGATATATTTGGTCCTCTCATGAAATACTGAATTTGATGCAATATGCAAGGTAGCTTGATTATCACATTTTACTATCATTTGTGTATATTCTTCAAATTTTAGTTTCTATGAGCAATAGTTTCAATCATATAAGCTCACACGATTCTAAATCCTTGGCCTTGTATTTTGTCTCTACACTAGATCATATTGTAACATTATGCTCTTTACTCTTTCAAGATATTAGGTTCCTTCAACTAACACATAATACCTATGACTTAATCCTATCACTAGGAGAACCAAACTAGTTAACATGTAAAACTAGTTAAGCATGTCCTCTATCTTTATAGATGAGCATTTTCCTTGAGCGCCCTTAATGTATTTTAATATTCTATTTATTACACCCCAATGATCCTAGTGGAGAGAATTTAAGAATTGACTTACTACACTTACTACAAAGGCAATGTTTGGATGAGTAACAATTAGATAATGTAGTTTTTCAACCAACCTTATGTGTTTTCCAAGATCTAATAAAGGCTCCCCTAATTAGGTAGTCTTTTGACATTAGGATCCATGAGAGTATCTAATAACCTAGAATTTATTAGGCCAATTTCTTCTAGGATATCAAGTATGTATTTCCTCTTAGATATTACTAGTCCTTCTTTGGATTTAGAAACTTTAATACCTAAAAATTTTGAAGCTTACCAAGGTCTTTTGTTTAGAATTGTCTAGGAAAAGTCTGACATAAGCTCTAATATGATCTCATCGGGGTAGGAGTAGGTGCAAAATCATTATGTTGATACGTCTAAAGAGGTTGTATATAGTTGCGGTCACCTCATAGGGTACTTTTTGGTATGCAAGAAAGTTATCCAATTATAGAAGGAAGAGTTATCAAAGAAGGTTCAATAGTAGTGTCATTGGACCATACTTTGGAACGAGGGATAAACTCAAACTATACGACAAACTTAAAAAATAAGACATTTATCAAAATAAAATAATGTTAAAAATTGGAGAAAAATAATGATAACTTTTCTATGACCAATGATAACAAGGAAGATACATTTGATAGCCACAAGAGAAAAGTTTATCAAATCTAGGCTATAGATTGTGAGCAAAACATTTGGAGCCAAAAACAAATGGATAAACTCAAACTAGTGTCATTAGGTCATACTTTAGGATAAGGGATAAACTCAAACTAAGGGACAAACTTAAAAAATGAGACATCTACCAAAATATAATAACACTGAAGATTGGAGAAAAATAATGATAACCTTTTTATAACCAATAATAACTAAGGAAGACACATTTGACAACTACAGGCGAAAAATTTATCGAATTCAAGCAAGTGATTGTGAACAAAATATGTGAAGCCAAAAAATCGGGGAGAAAGTGTATGGAGTTGTGTATGAGGAAAAAGGATAGACTAAAGAACTTGATTAAATAGGATAGAGTAACATGCAACCAATGAGATAAAAGGTTTGTGAGAACATCATCCCCTAAAAACATAATGGAACATTTTCATGGAGTAGGAGAGTTCTGGGATTTCAACAAGATGATGATTTTTGTGTTCAAAAGGAGTATAGGTATCCAATCATTGGACCATTAAACAACTGAGCAGAAATTATTATCTTCAAGTCTCGATAAATCTCATAAAAAATATTATGTGTCCTTAGTATAAAGAGATTGAATTGTTGTCCAAACTCACTTATATATTTGGTCAGAAAATTTGTTTGATGCTTGGGTGGAGAGTAAACTTGATTAATTACATTGAATATCTAAATATGCACTCAATTTATTAAAATCAAAAAATATTTTGATTAGTTTTTCATATATCATTTTTTTAATCATTTTTATAATTAAACCAACATAAATTAATTTCTGTTTTTTTAATTTATATCTCTAAAAGGTTAAAAAAAATGATCTTACAATTACTTAATAAGATTTTTTTTTTATTTGTAGCAATAGGCCAAAGATGATCATCATGCTTTATTTGAATATTCCATAGTATAATAAGCTTTCTTATTCTGAAGAGACATTTTCTTCATTGACCTGATCTTTGTTTAGTTATCTATCGGTCCAATTTAACATGTTGTAAGAAATTAACTACATTATTCACCGTACGACAAGAGTAACTACGCTGAAAATGGGTCTCAATAACAACACCCCATCCTCATAAAAAAAAAAATTACTCTTTATTTTTATAATTTTTAAACTTTAACTTTTAATTTTTATTGATAAAATATTTTATTTTAATCTTTATAAATGTCTTTTACTTTTTTAGTTCATATAGTTTTGTAAACTTTATTTTTTTAGTTTTATAATAATAGGTAATAAAAATTAAAAAAACAAAATTAATATACAAACTAAAATAAAACATCTTTAACTATAATACTTAAAAATAAAAAATTAACTAATTATAAAAATTAAAATTAATTAAATAAAAATAAATAAAAAAGAAACTCTTACACCGGTAAGAAAAAAGTAAAAAATGAAGATTTTAACAATTTGTCAGCACTGAGAGTCATACAATCTGATTGCAATTTGCTTTCTACTTCAATATCCTAATGACGAATGTTCTTCCATGCGGCATCATATCCAATATGCAAAAGAAAGGGTGGCAAATCCAATAACTTAAAACAATTTTCTTCAAAATTATCTCATTCAATAACTTATGCTATATATATACATGAACATGTATCTACAAAAAAACTCATTTCCCATATAGCTCTACGGTTTTAAAGATCAACTATGTTCTTCTTAACCTTTCTATAGTCTAAAGTTTTTGCTGCTTCTTACCCTTTGGTTACCACTATCTAATTTTGCCTCTAAAGCTTCAAGGGATGATGATGTGACTCAATCCCCAACAGCATGTATGAATTGTTCCAAATGTGAATTAATACCCTTGTCAATAACCCTTTACCACCACCATCACCATCTTCTCCTCTTTCTGGTTACTTTATATATGGAACACCTCCACCACCACAAGAGAAAGACCACACCAAGTGCCCTCCTGCTGCAGGTGCTAAGTGCCGCGCGCACCCCTCCAACAGCACCTAATATTTTGCCTCCTCCAAACCCTTACACTCTTGTGCCTTATGGTGAAGGACAACAAATGCTTCTGCCACTTCTAGTTCCACTCATTATGCTTTTTTCTTCCTTTATTATTCTCTTCTGAATTTGGTTGGTGTTCATTTATATATCATGGTTTTTTTTAATCAATAGAGAGATTATAATAACAGTAACAAAATTCGAATCTTGCTATCTCAATCTTATTACTACCCAAGATACGAATATGAAACTTGTGCATGTTATCACAAATATTTTACTACCACGTAAGGTTCGAATCTGAAGTTTGTGCATGCTATCTCAATCATACTAATTCTTTTATCATAATTGTCAAGTCTGGGATAAGTAATTAATGAGCACTTTAAATTGGATAAACAATATCATATCAGGTTTGTCAATTATGATTAACGTTTGTAGCAGTTCCAGATTTCAGTAAAGAGTTTTGTGGTGGAAGGCTCTTACTCTATCAAGTTTAATAACCATCAATTCCCATAACACTTAATTTTTCCCTTAAAATTGGGATATAAGTATTGAGATTCATTTAACACATGAAAATATTTAACCTTTTATCATTACTACTATCTATCAACTACAAAACATGTTAACATTTGGAGTTTTCATATTTGCCTTTACGAAAATTCTAAAGCAATCAAGGGAGGGGGGAGATTGTCCTATAGCTAACGACCAAAATGGCTTTTGATCCTTACACAACGACAAATGTGTGAGGGCAAAACTTTTTTCTCTATGTATGTGGATCCGGTGAGTAGGGGAGTAGTTTGTGCTTCTGGGGGAAAGGGTAAGAAACAACACCATGATTGTCCAGAACTAAACCACCGAATGCAATTAATGTTGGACTGGACCACCTGTTTCTCAAGAAAAATAATGATGTCATGCCGAAGTAACCTAAGGTGGAGCTTACTCCAAGTGGTAAAAATACTTTTGACATGGTTTTTCATGTCAAAACATAAACAAATAAGGGCATGTTTAATTCACGTCACTTTTATTATTATTTTTTACGTAGATCACTTAAGTTAATAATTTGTTACTTTTGTATCAGTTTCGATGAATAATTAGTTACTGTTATAGTAATTTGGATATAATTTTTACTTAAATGTGAATTTGAATTCACTTTTCTTTTATCATTTTTACTTAAACATGATCATGTATGTGAAACTTATAAACATGCACCAATTCTGGCTTTCACGTTATTCTTTACAAGAATTGACGTGATTTTACTGATTTAAAGGGGTGTCCAAACATGCAACGGAAATTAACCTCTAAGTTATAAATTTCACATCATTACACGATCGATTATATCTTCATAAGGATTAACAAGACATGCACTTTATTAAAAATGCATCAGAAACTACTCTAAATTGACTAATTGACATTTACAATTAATAATTATAAACAAATATTGAGATTGCATTGTGGAGCCAATGCCAGTGGCAGTGATAGCAGCAGCACACTGTACTCTGGTAAAAAAGCAAAGGAATAATTCACGTTGTACTCACTGTGTGGCTGCGTGATTTGTACTGCAAAATGCAAAGCCACTTTCATTTTATACAGTAGTAGTTTTCATGTGATGTGAAAACAAGCGTGAATCTTCCATGTGGGACTTGCAAAAGGAGTAAAGCGCAAGACACGAGTAACTTCTCATTTTTGGCCACCACACTCACTATACAGCAACTTTATTGACTGGTTTGGAAATTGAATGTTTTCACCGTAGGATATTTTTGTATCATAAACAGTTTTCTGTTTATTTTGAAATTACCACTAATAACTGTGCATGAACACAACACAGCACTAAAGACACATTTTCACAAAAGTAAGGTGTTTAGCTCCCTTTCTGATTTTTATTTTAGCTTTTGTTGTTTATAGTGATTATATTTACCATTACAAATTGTATAAACACCCATAAAATGGTCATGAATAAATACACGAACCGTTGAATTTATGAACGACTAGAGTGTTTCAATTTTTTGGTAGAGAAATTGCAGCACAAGGATTCAATTTTCGGCAGAATATATTACATAGCAGAGGATTCAATTTCCTACTCTGATGAGAAAACTTGATAGCGATTGAAATTCCTTAGCCAATGCGTGACTTTTAAATTCTGACTTTAGCTGCCTTTGAAAACTAGCTTCTAAAATTTGTAGTCAGAACAAAATCAAGACAACTGAGATTGGAAAAAACCAGTGACCAAAAGTAAAATATACACTTAGAATATTTAAATATAAAATAGGCTTAAATGAAGTTGTTTTTATTTAGTTGCGGTAAAAATCATTACTTTTATTTTTACAATATTCATCGGCATGTAGAAATTCTTTTGGGTGTACCAAAATATATGAATATATACATCGTCAAATATTTTGGTCCTCGTAAACTTTTTTCGGCATCATAAATTTATTCTTACAATGCACAGTTATATATTTTGGTACTCAATTAAATGAAGGATATATTGGAAATAATAATATTAAATAGAAAAATTAGTTAAATTGATTTATACTTAGACATATTATTTATGAGATTTTTTTTACTAATTAGTTAAGTCAGAAAAAGATATAAACCAAAATTATGTTACTTCAAATCAATTTTAACAATGATCAATTTTATAAAATCACATTGATAAATGACTAATACCCAAACACACTCAATTCTTATCAAAAACACACAATAACCCTATAAAATATAACAATTGTTAATAATGAACTTTTTAAAATAAAAAAAATGAAAACAACTTCGTCTGCAGTTAATAAACTAATAAGATATCCCCTGAATTTGGTCATTATTAGTTACTAATAAAGCTTATACAAATGCCTCGTATTCTCGCTTAACTGGAAGAAAATTGGGGGAAAAAATTGATGAATTGGAAATTTGAAGACAAGCCAAGACAACCAATTTAAATCAGGCACCAAACATAAAACCAAAAAGCCAGGATCACCCTTTGTCCTTGTGGACAACACTACAGAACACATAAATTGTAATAAGTGTCCAACTCCTGAACAAAACAAACCCAACCATATACAGTAGTGAATTTAAGCCTACAAAACACAACTATATAAAGTAGTGAATTTAAGCCCACAAAGTTAGGTGTCGGCATCACTCTTTGATTCGGTCAATTCATACATAACCCCAATCAAATCATAATAATAATAAAAAATACAAATGCGCTTTTAACGGTAGCAAAGTAAACAATAATTGTAGGATTAAGATCGTCTACTGTTCCAAACTTGCTCATCATCTTATTAGATAATAAAAGCTTAATTAGTAATTTGTCCATGTAATTTTATGAACTTTGTTTTTACAAAAATATTTTATTTTAATTTTTATACAATTATTTTCTTTTCTTTTTGTCCCTGCTATTATTAAATTTTACCTTTTAATTATTTCTGTATAAATAGAGTCTACAGAGTCTAAAAGTTTAATTATATCTATACAAATAGTCTACAGAGTAAAAGGGACAAATATAACATATGTATAAAGATTAAAATAAAATGTTTTAATTACAATGACTACAAAATAAAATTCATGAAGTCAGAAGGTGAAAAGCGTAATTATATCAACAATAACTTTATCTTTTAAATTTAAATTTTTTATAGTGAGATTCAGAACAGGCATACACGGTAAAATCCCATTTCACAAACACAACAAACTTGCATCACAAATCTTGTTCGAGCCAGACAATAAAAATGTGGATAGTTTCTCAAACAGAAATTCAAATCTTTCTTGGTTAACCAAAGAAGACGATGATAAACATTGAACATCTACATTATCATCAGAACTCTCCAATAAACATTCAACATCTACATTATACCATGAATAAAACCACTAACCATACTCATTGGATAAAATTAAATAAAAGTTTACATTATAACATTCACAACCATGTATGAATTCCCGCTCTCTCACCACCAAAAATTACAACAGCATCAAATACAATAATAAAAATAATAATAAACTAAAAAAAGTAAAATACACACCAAAGAAAAAAAGGAATATCACTTCGAATCCCCTTATTTCCTAACTTCCAAAAAAGAAGAAAAAAGAACCTAAAAACTCATCTTTTAAAAACAACTTAAAAACACAAAGATAACGCCAAAGCCAAAGGCAAAGGCAAAGGCAACACAACACTAACATACCTGCGGACGGCGCTGTTGCTATCGTCGGCGGTGTCATCGGCGGAATCCCCGGGCGAGTCGGCCGGAGCGTCGGAGTCATCCGCCGGTGCATCAGCAGCCGGAGTCTTCTTCTTGCCCTTCTTCTTGGGCGGCGAGGGAGCGTCGGCGGCGGCAGGCTCAGGCGCGGGGGACGGCGCGGGGGACTCAGCCTTAAACAACTCCTTAGGCTGAAGCACCTTGTTAATGGCGAAAACGGCGAGAGGCTGTTCGTCGAAGAGCGTGTCGGTGATTTTGGCAGTGGAGAGCCTGGTTTTGAGCGTGACCTGTTCGCCGTCGTTTTGAACGGTGAAGTCGAAGTTGTTAGCGCCGTCGGTGGCGAGAGTGTTCTGAAGGCCGTTGTTGGATTTGAGAGTGGCGAGGGATTGGTAGACGGGAACGCCGTGAAACTCGAGAAGCTGGACTTTGGCGGAGGCGGTTAGGTTTTTGAATTTTGGGAGAAACGACTTGAAAGCGTCGTCGAGGGGGCAGAAAACGGTTAGGCCTCCGTCGAGGGTGTCGGTGAAGGTGCCAAGCGCGTCTTTGGAAGCGGAAAGCGTGTCAGCGAAGACTTTGCATCCGTGTTTCGACATAATGCCTGTGAGGTTTTGTCTGCTGGGCGCGGGCGCAGGGGCTTCCGCTGCGGCCGAGGGGAGGATGCCGCTGATCTCGATTACCGATATATTGTACGGGATTTCCTCCACGGATTTCACGAACGTCGCGGAGAGCGTGCCGTCGTTGTTCTCCGCTCCGAACCCCACCTTCCCGCCGTGGAGGTCCGTGATGTTGACGAAGCCGGCGGACCCCGGGGCGGAGCCGGTGGCCTGGTACATGGTGGCGGCCAGCGCGGTGCCGTTCGTGATCTGGTGCAGCTTCTTGGCGCCGAAGTAGTCGAGGAGGACGTGGAGGGAGAGGATGTTCTTCACGGTGTAGATCGAGGGGTGCTTCGATAGGAGATCCTCCATGGCGGCGTTGTCCACGGCGCACACCGTGATTGTGGTCCTGCTGTTCACCTCCGGCGCCAGGTGCGTCAGCGTCAGGTACCTGTTGAAGGTGGAGAACTCCGGGTGCTTTGCCAGGATGTGCGTGATGTTGTGCGCCTCCGAGACAAAGAGGCAGAGGAGGAAGAGCGCCGCCGCGAGAGCCGCCGTGGGAGCCTGCATTGTGGAAATCAGAGGGAGATCTGGCGGCGGCCGCTGAGAGTGAAGAGTGAAGAGTGAAGGAAGGGAGACACGCAGACAGCGTGGTAATAATAAGAAAGGCAAAGGGAATGGGCCTTGGAGTTTCAGATTATTACGGTTTCTGCCATCAACCCACAATTCTTACCAAGCTATATGTTAATTATTTATTTAATCAAATCAATAATTTTAAAAAATTTAATTAATTATTGATATAAATAATTAACTCATAATATATTACGAGTAACACATAATTTCAAATTTAATAATTAACTACAAAATAATAATTGTTGCATTTATTCAATAAAAAGTAATTTATTTTATAAAATATAATTATTAATAAAATATAATTTAAAAATATTAATTTCTCACCTAATTTTATTTTATTAATTACATTCTCTTCTGAGATTAAGTTTCCGCGTCGAACCTGAAGCAAGAAACAACAGGTAATGTGCTGACAATTTTATTTTATTTTTTCCCGTTTTATACGCAATTTCTTACATGTCACCGCGAAACCTAACAGCGTGCTGCAACACTACAAAATTATGACTACTTGCCTGTTGCCTCCGCCTTGTTTAACGACTAAGGTTTTATCACAATTTAAGAAATCTAATTAATGATGCCTAAAAAGAACGAAATCTAATTCATTTCTTCCAAAAAAATTAATTAATGTTTTAGGATTTATTAAAAATAGTATATAATTTCTTTATATATTTTTTTTTATCTTTTATGTTAAGTTTAGTAACTATGAAAAAAGAGACTCTCGGTTCTTTTTTATGTATTCATATAAAAAAGTAAAATAAAAAATAAAGATAATGAATGTTAAATAATAATATAGTTTTCTTTTTCTTTTTGTATACATAATAATGAGTAGTTATAATTTATAAAGTAAAATAGACTAAAAATATGTACAATAAAATAATTTTTTATTATATGCATAGACATAAATGTATAAATTAATTTTCATATTTTTTTATTATTGTATATGAGAAAAAAAATATGCTATTTTAAATATAAATAAATTTTAAATAATTTTATTATTATATTTAATAAAGCAATCTTAAGATATTTGATTATATTTTTTTATGTTTTTGTTTTTATATCAAATTTTAATGAAGAATAATTTATAAAATAAAATAGAAGTAATTAATAAAATTAAAAAATGTTAGTTAACTTTCTTAAATAGTAAAAGACACTATTTACGTACAATATCATTGTTTTATAATCATAAACTTTCTCTTAATTGGAAGATTGAAAAATTAATTTCACTTGCTAAAACTAAATAAAATAAATAAAAGGAATAACAATAATTTATGACATGATCATCTTTTATGTAATATATAGTGAAATTTTCTAATTCATAAAATAAATGAATAAAACTCAAATATATATTATGGGAATATTAGTTAAGACGATAGCTTTAAATCATATAATAAAATTTTTATTAAGATACATTTTATTTCGGTATGGATGATTATTTCTAGAAAATTTAGTGATTATCCATATTCAAAACATGTATAGATCGTAATCTAACCGTTAACACTTGATCACTCGACCTTATTCACCGATCCTTTAAAATCATATTTATGAGCCCAAGATGATCTTAAGATTTGTCTTCGTACATGATTAATTATCGACGTAACGGGAATTTAGCCTATGCATTTATGACGGGCATAAAATTATCCTATAGGTAATTACCTACGTATGAAATTACTTTGTTTCAAATTACTTCCATATCATGACATATATTTATTAATAAAATTATCTATTAATTATATCATATATTGTTGTTAGATTTTTTTTTATTATTTAAATTTATTAAAATTTATAAAATCAGGAATTACTTGTTCAATATATCAATAATTAATAATTTGTTTAAATTAGTGTATTAAAGAGGTTGCATGGAGAGAAATGAGTGAGCGTGCGTTGGCGTTGGCGTTGGCGTGAATGGTGGCTGGCCACGGATGGGAGGTTCTAGAAGATTCGGGGTTGGAGAAAAGGAAGAAGCCGTTGGGAGCATGTCACGTGAGTTCAGCTGTTGTTTCTTGTTTCTCTGGAGAAAGAATAACATTAGGCATTACTTAGTTACCTGTTTTAAGTATTGTTCTTCATCAATATTTTAACATGTGGATAATATACATAAAAATAATATTTTAAACAATTAAAATTTATAATGAATAAATATCTTTAAATTTTGAAATATGTTTTTAGTTTATAAAGCATAATTTAAATTATAACAGGATTATTTTAATTATTAAAATTTCTTGAAAATATTAAATTTAAATTTAGAAATCAGGTTAAAAATGGTAGATTAAAGTGAATAAATAATTTAAAGATCAAATATATAAATAATAATTTAATATGGTTAAGTTTTTGTTAATTAACTGTGTGTATATAATTAATATGTGAAGTGCATATTCACGAAAAAAAAAATGTGAAATACATAGTTAAAAGTGTTATAGCATGAAACATCCTCAGAAAAGAAATATGAAATTGAATATTAATCATTTCTGATTAAGAAAAATAAATGTCTATTTTAATAGTTAAACTATTTTTTTAGAGTATACCAAAAAAAAAAACTTTAAGTTTCTACAGTTATCTCTATTTTAAATTTCAGTTCCTATGTGAGAAAACCAGAAGTTATATGTATATATGCCTAAGTTTTGTCTATCTCCCTTATACTAGATAATACTTTCTGGTGGTATATCTACGAAAACTTTCTAGCAGTGATAAACCACTGCTAACGAAACTATGAATGACTAAAACTGTATTTTTTTTTCATATACGTATGATATTTAAAATGGAGATAATTATAAAGATTACTTGAATAACTTTTTCTTTTTTTATTTTATAATATAAAAACATATTATAACATAGATAAAATCTAACACATTATTTGAAATCATGAAATGCATAAAAGAAAAATAAAAGAATAAAAGAGGAGAGGGAAAGAACTATTTTTTTTAAGGTAACTTCATTTTTTGTTATACGAATGAAACTTGTACAATATACTTTTAATTGTTGTATTGTATTTATAAATGAAAATATATCCTTAAATAAAGTTTTATCCTTGAATTTTATGAATTAAAAAAATAATAGTTGGAGGAGAGATCCTAAAATCACCAACTAAATTCACAGACATAGATTAGTTTTCATGTAATTAGTTTAGATATTTTTTACTAGTAATATAATTAAAAAAAATGACACTTAAAAAAGAAATTGAAATAATAAGATTAAACATTGTTGTGTAATATTTTCATAATATTATTATAACTATTTGTTGCTGGTTAGCTTTTATAGTAAATGTTTGAAGTTTATTATGCTACTAGCTATATTTATTTAACTATGATAAGTTACTAAATATTTAAACTACTAATATAAGGGTTGATGTATATATGCCTAAGTTTTGTCTATCTCCCTTATACTAGATAATACTTTCTGGTGGTATATCTACGAAAACTTTCTAGCAGTGATAAACCACTGCTAACGAAACTATGAATGACTAAAACTGTATTTTTTTTTCATATACGTATGATATTTAAAATGGAGATAATTATAAAGATTACTTGAATAACTTTTTCTTTTTTTATTTTATAATATAAAAACATATTATAACATAGATAAAATCTAACACATTATTTGAAATCATGAAATGCATAAAAGAAAAATAAAAGAATAAAAGAGGAGAGGGAAAGAACTATTTTTTTTAAGGTAACTTCATTTTTTGTTATACGAATGAAACTTGTACAATATACTTTTAATTGTTGTATTGTATTTATAAATGAAAATATATCCTTAAATAAAGTTTTATCCTTGAATTTTATGAATTAAAAAAATAATAGTTGGAGGAGAGATCCTAAAATCACCAACTAAATTCACAGACATAGATTAGTTTTCATGTAATTAGTTTAGATATTTTTTACTAGTAATATAATTAAAAAAAATGACACTTAAAAAAGAAATTGAAATAATAAGATTAAACATTGTTGTGTAATATTTTCATAATATTATTATAACTATTTGTTGCTGGTTAGCTTTTATAGTAAATGTTTGAAGTTTATTATGCTACTAGCTATATTTATTTAACTATGATAAGTTACTAAATATTTAAACTACTAATATAAGGGTTGAATTTTTCTTGTTGTTGTAATTTTTTATAGATATAAAAAATTATTAAATAGTCATTATTAAATTATCATAAATAATATTTGAATCCTTCCATCTATAACCTTTAATGAATATAAATTTCACGATGCATAAAGAAATATAAATTTGATGGAAATGAGGTATTTATACGATACAACGTAGACCATATGACAAGCACGGAATCGCATAATCACTCGCTGTAAAGTGGAAAGTGAGAACTTTGTGCGGCTTTCGTAAAGTGAAAACGATCAAGTACGGGCACTCCTAGTTTACGGTGTAATCATGGCCGTCAAGTGGTGCCACGTGGATCGCTGACCAACTAAGCCAGGTGAATGTGTAGTTGAATATCAGCCGTTGATGATTGGAGGGCAGTGATTGTAAATAAAGTGATGAAAGAGGGTGTTGAAGACTCAAAGTAGAGAATAGTGAGTGGTGGTGGTGGTACGAATTAAGGTTGTTGGGGGTGTTTTTAGACCAGGCTGGTTTGAACTGTGCAGGGGACGCCACGTGGACGGTGGATGAAGGGGAGCATGTGACGTTTACTAAAACATGCACCACCGACAATTTTCTTTCCTATTATTATTTGTGTTTGTTTCCTTTCACGGTTTTGGTTTTGGTTGGAAGCGTGGGTTCATGGTTGTGTTTACTCGAGGGATTCCCTTGTTCTTTCTTCTTCATGGTAATTTCAAAGTATTGGTTAAGAGAGAAAAGAAGAAACCTTGTGTAACCCCAAGTATGTAGTTCAGTGATAGGGGTTGATCCACACTTAAGTAAGGTCAAGAATTCGAATCCTGTCTTGTCTATGCAACCGCGTTAAATCTTGGGTGTCTTAAGAATGATGAGCACAGTTACACATGAGATAACAGTAATATGATAATCGAACCATTTAAGATGGTGGTCAAATTATTTGTGGCAGCACTAATCAAGCTCAAGTTTAATAATAACTTCATTGTTTTCTATTCCTGCTTCGTCTTCTGCCTTTAAATAATGTTAGAGTCCTACAAAGGTCAATAACAATGAAGTTAGTGTACTAAAATTTAAAATATTGCACAAACAATTTTAAGCCACCGACTTTGTGAATTAAGTGAAATCAAATTATTTTGATTTAGACAATAGTTTGTCTTCAATGTGCTGCATATTCGATGAGAAAATTTTACTTTTTATAATGATCATGTTAGGTCAAACATAGTTGCCTGCTATAAAATAAAATTACTTATAATATATATCATAAAAAAAATAAAAAATAAAAAACTCGAAAGGAAGAGACAATCACAAGTGAGATATCATTGCCTATTGTCTTTGGCATTTAGATCTAGTCAGAAGGCAAGTTCCTTTTCTCCATTCATCAACATTCCTTTACAAAAAGTATTGCTTTGATTCTGCTTAACTAAAAATAATATTTCGAACATATTGTAATTAATTACAAGCTAATTGGGATTTTGTCGATTACTTTACTAGGGATATTCAACTCTTAGCGTAATTATACTATACTTAGTACTTTATAATTTCGATCAACTAACCTAATGTTTTATTATTGTTTTTCTTTTTGCAAAAGGATCATGCATGTTTCGCGTACTATGTAATATAATCTTATTAAATTATCACTGGTCACTAGTCTATTTTGATATTGATAGGTGGATTTGGGCAAGTATACGTAGATTTGGTATTTAAAACATGTCATATCCATGACTTTTTTGTTGTTCTGCAAATGGTAGGGACACAACAAACGTGATTTTCTAGTTGTTAAATAAACTTTCACCGAAAATATTGAAAATGACCATAGATTTAAATGCTGTAATCCAATTAAGGAATACAAAGCTTGCATTGACAAATCCTGAAAATGTCTATTTTTTTTTCTCATTTCTTGACAATGCAAGAGAAGATTATGTTCTACGTTTCTTGGTTGGCTTCTTAAGGTGGTTATTACTTCAACATTTGCTGCAACCTAAAATCTTATTCTAATCTATGATAATGGAATCATGTGATGAGATGCTTTAAAGGTTCTGTTGAGTTTTAGAATGAAATGAAGCTTTTCAATTTTGTGTATTGAGCTGTTATGCGTTGCCATATTTTTGTCATTATGGGCTAAATGGAAAGAATTATAGCACCAAAAATCATAGTTAAATAGCACTTATAAATTATAATTATTTTCAACACCCAAGTAGGATAGCCAAAATATCACCAATCATAAATCTATCGCATCGATTTTGAACCAAAACTATATAACAATCACTACCGCAAAATGAGTTTTTTTTTTAAATATATTTGAAAAATATTACTTAATTAATAATTATGTATCAATGTTTTTATTTTTTTTATAATTTATTATCAAGTATTACATATAATCTATGTTACTAAAAAGTTTTAATAATATTTTTATATATTAATGACAACATTTTAAAAATATTATTAAAATTGTTTTTCCTAACATCTATATTATTAATCTATAATATTCATAAAAAAAATTATTTTATTTAGTGTATAGTTGTCTACATTTATTTGCACAATTTTACTCTTAAGATTAGCTTTCAAATTACTCTTTCTTTTTTTATCATATTTTTTAAAAACTACTTTTATAACTACAAAACCTTTAAAGATAGGAACATTTTAAGTTAGTCATCATTAAATCTAAGTTAAATATTTAAGTTCATTTATCTTAAATTACATCCTATAATTACATATACTCTTTATTCATCATTTTTTTATTTGATGTTAGACTTTAATAATAAAAAATAATTACGAATTAAAAAAGTATACACTTTATATATCACTAATAAAAATAAAAAAAGCACTACGTGAAAAGAAAATAACAAGTTTATCTTATAATTTGTACTATTATTAAAAGTTATATATAATTATTAAGGATAAAATGAGGAATATAAAAATAGACACTAAATAAGATAATTTCTTTTATTAGTAGTATATATTTATTTATGTAATTTAGGACTTTAATTTTAGAAAATATTTAAAAATAAAAATTGACATGTTGATCTTTTTAAAACACAATTATAGAATTTCATTAAACATCCAAAGTGCATTCTTCAATGTTGTCTTCTGCCCTCACCAAGTCTCTTCTTATATTTCAAAATGTAACTTCAACAATAATTGGTAATATAGGTGTTTGACCCATCAAACAAGAAGAAGAATCACAGATCAAAACATAACAATGGGGACAAAAGTGAAATTATACTAAAGTGTCAAATTTTATTTTTTAAGTATTTCTTTCAACAAGTAGTAAATAATAGATCCCATAAAATGCAACCTTGAAAACTAGATGGAGACATGAATGATCAAAAGCAAATTACATAATTTGCTAATGTTTTAGATAGTGTTGGTTTTAAATTTTGTTAAGGAGTTTGTTTTCATCTTTTCCACCATCTTCTCTTTGATAAGTCTCCTCATTATTTTTCCAGATGGTGACTTTGGTATGGCTTCCACAAAGTGCACCACCCTCACTTTCTTGTAATGTGCAGCATTGGAAGCAACATAGTTCATGATGTCCTCCTCACTTTCTTTTGCACCTGGACTCAAAACAACACTTGCAGCTGGGATTTCCCCTGCCTCTTCATCTGGTAATCTGAACAAACATTATAAGAAATAACATAAGTTTGTGGTCTCTTGAAATTTGAAATCCCATTAGAAGTGTGATATTTGGCCAATTTGTTTAAAATTTTAAAAAAATAAAAATAATTCTTTAAGAAAAGAAGTAGAGAGGAGTTACTTCTTTAAAAAAATAGAAATTTGTTTTTCTTTTAAAAAGGATTTAGACAAATATACACAAAAATTGAAAATTACTTATTTTATTATAAATAAAAAAACATTTTAAAAAAATAAATAAATAAACAAACCGAGCCATTAACAATATTGACAAAAACTATACTTACGGCACTACAGCTGCATCTTCAACCGATGAATGAGACAACAAAATAGCCTCTAACTCTGCAGGAGCAACCTGCATGTGTCCAAAAAGATAACTAGTTTTGACTTCTACATGGGTATATCATACCTTATGCTCCATTAATTTGTGCTCACTAACATCCATTCTTTCATAACAAAATAATTGTAATATACATTTTGACCAAGTCCTTAACCTTTATATGGGAAATTAGTAATGCATGAGTGTGTATACAATGTCCAAATTTATTTTCTAAATGAATGTGTATATGTATGCCTACATTTACAAAGCCCTTCAAGTTTCTAGCAAGTTATTTATTTTGAATTTAATTTAAATACACCAACCATATAAAGAGTTTTTACTTTATTATCTAATTATTAACTTTTACAATAACTAACTTAAAAAGTCATATTTAATATAACTTTTGATTTTTACTTTAACAGTGCCTAGAATATAAACTTTTTTTTTTTCTTCTAAACATGTGAAACATCAATAACTTACTTGGAACCCTTTGTATTTAATCAACTCCTTGATACGATCAATGATAAATACATTTTCTTCATCATCTATGAATCCTATGTCACCTGTGTGAAGCCATCCATTTTTGTCAATGGTATGGGAAGTCTCATCCACCTGTTTGTAGTAACCTGAAAAAGAGAAACATAATTTATATTCATTCACAATCTAATCTAATTTATCATAATCTTATAGATGGTTTTGAGGTAGATTTTATTTCCAATATTACCTTGCATTACACATTGGCTTCTTACACAAAGTTCCCCAGGTGTGTTCCTAGGGAGGGATCGACCAGTGTCAGGATCAACAAACTTGACTTCCAAATTTGGGAGGATGAACCCTACTGAATTTTTATGAGGACTTCCCAATCCTTTTTGTGCATGAGTGAGTGTGATGCAACTATGCTCAGTTAGTCCATATGCCTGCCAAAGAAAACTAGCACTTGAGGAAGATACTCTATACCAAATATGCACAACATTATTGGTCACACAAAATTACACTATTAAGAAAATTTGAGTTCTTTGGCCTTAAAAAAATCATGTTTTTTACATTTATTCTTCTTTTAGTTTCTTTCTAGTAAGTCATCCATAAAACTTTTGTTATTACCAAACAATTCATGAAGTTTTCTATTTGGTTTACATTTTCCTTTCATCTATTCATATAAACATCACAAGCTTTTTATTTAGTATTTCCTTTTATAGAAACTGAATGAAAATCTCACGATAGAAGGACTAAATAAGAAGGTCATAATATTTAGAATTGGGAAATGATAACCACAACTAGTTACAAAAGAGTAACATGGGAGAAATTATTGTAAAGTATCACATGTTGATGTTCTTGGTCAATTTTTAAGTGACACATAGTCAAAAATTTTAATGTTAAAAAAATGATTAATAAAGATCGATCATGTATAATGTAGAAATTGATCAGATCAGTCTAAAACTATAAATAAGCTATAAATAAGCAATAGTCTCGAATCATATAATAATTTCTCATACCATATAATCATAAACTATTTTGAGAAACTAGTAAGAGCCAGAGATAAGAATCAAAAATTATGAGAAGGGGGGTCTTAGTGAATTATCAACACTATAGATGAGTTATGTACCAACCTCTTGGACAGAAACACCAGGAAACTTGTGTTCAAAAGCATTAAGTAGTTCTGGTGCAAGTGGTGCTGCTGCAGTCATGATGGCCTGTAGTTTTAGCTTGCTGAGATCAAATTCATCCACTATGGGGTTTTTCACCAAGCTGAGAATGATAGGGGGCACAATGGGTGCAAATATAACCTCATGTGCAATCAAGGCATTGAGAAATGTTTTCAACTCAAACCTATTCATCACCACAACTTTCCCTTTGCTCCTAAGAGTGGCACAACAAATTCCAGTGATGCCATAGATGTGAAAGAAGGGAATCAAGCCTAGTGTGGTGACCAACCCCACCATTTCCGGGGTCACACCAAAGAGTGTAGAGCAAAGATTAGCCACTAGATTTCTATGAGTCAGCATCACACCCTTTGACATTCCTGTGGTGCCTGATGAGAATGGCATGGCACAAAGATCATTCTGCTGAATAGGCTCTTTGTTCAAATCATCACCAGCACGATCTGCTGCTTCAAGCAACTTGTTCCAATTCATGGCACCTTCAATAATCTCATCTCCTAGCACAATAACAGGTAGCTCTAGACTCTTCACCTGAGTTTATATTAACTTAAGAAACATCAAAATCTACAATTTAAGAATTTAATTTCCTTACATTATCAGCGTAATTTTACATTGTCAATCAAACAAAAATCAAGATAAATATAAGTATATAACTTTTAAAGTAATTATTGTAAAATCCAATAAACTTACTGAACATGACAGTTTATAATTGGATTAATTAAAAAAAAATGTTGGCAACATTCTGTTACTAATACCTTTATTATTGATTAAAAATTACAATTTTTTTTAAGTCTTATTACTAAATAAAAAACAGGCACATTAAATAAGATACAAAGTGACAAATTTTAACCTATAATAATCAGTGTTAAAGAAATTAAGTATCAACATTACTCTTAATTAAAATACCCAAGAAGCTAATTAAAAAAGAGACTACGTGGTGTATTTGAAGCAATTACCTTTTCATAGTTTGTGCCATTTGTGACAATTAATTTGGCATCAGCAGACTCTGCCTGTTTCTTAATTTCTGATACATGAGATGCTGGATTTGCACCTGAGAACACCCCACCAGCAGCCATAATCCCCAGAGCAACAATGGCATACTCTACTACATTTGGAAGCACTACAATCACAACATGCCCTTTCCTCAAACCAAGTGATCTCAAGGCCTTTGAAAACCTGTGTACACCCCTTACCACCTCACTATAAGTGACCCCTTTTCCAGTCACAGCATCCACAAATGCAACCTTGTCAGCATACAATTCAGCATTTTGGAGCACAAATTCCGGCAATGTCACATTGTCAGGAATATGGACAGGTGGGTATTGGCTACGAAAAACATGTTCCTCCACACGTGTGGTTTTTTCAACGTAGGTACCCATGTTTGAGAGTGTGTGGAAATGCAATTGGCAATGGTGAATTCTACTCAATGGGGTTGAAAAAGTGAGGTTATATGGAAATTTCTTGTCATACTCTTTGCATGGTGTGAGGTTAGATAAGTTGCAAGTGAAGTGACATTGTCAATTTGTCATGCGTGGGGCTTTTTGTTGGTGGTGATTTGTTGAATCATGTCACTCACAAAGGCCAACTACAACATTTCTATAATCAGTTATGCTATTCTTATCTAATAATTCTGTATGTAATATGGTTTCTCTATATTGGTGAATGAGTGCATCTTTTACCTCATCAACAAATAATTTAGGTCGTGTCCATTACCTAGCAAAGTTTCTAGTTTCAATATTAAAACCAGAATATAGGTGATACTCTAAAACTTAATAGGTATTCTTTATCCTGATTTAGGAGTTCAATTAGTATACATATAATGCCAATTTAGGACATTGCAAATTATGCTAATTTAGGAGTTCAATTTTAATGCTTTCACTGTTTCACATTCACTCAATATAACTTTCTAAAGTATTTGGTTAAAACTCTATTTTGGTCCCTTATAATCTTTTTTTATGAGAATAGTACTACAATATTTATATATGAGCAATGAACAATAATACAGTATTATTAGCAGAGAAAAAAAAGATGAAAAACTCACTTGAAAATTCTTGAAGCACTTGAAAAGTCACTTCAAACAATCATTCAAAATCTGATGGGTTTGAAAGATGAAAAACTCACTTGAAAATTCTTGAAGCACTTGAAAAGTCACTTCAAACAATCATTCAAAATCTGATGGGTTTGGAAGAGATTGTTTTATGGATTTGGTATTTATAGATAACACTAGAAAGTCCTTCAAAATTCCTCTAACACAACAATCCTTTAAAATTCTTATATTTTGAATACCAATGAATTATTTTTAAGTTGTAAAAAGTTTCAAATGAATATCAATATATTTTAATGGACTCTTAAAAAAATCTTGAAAATCCAAATTGAATACTATTGGATTGTTTTTAAGTGACATAAAATTCTGATTGAATATCAATGGACGTTTTTACTCAAAAAAACGTCTTTTAAAATCCTACGAAATCATAAATCAATACACCCCGCTTAATATGTTCATCAACGACAATAAATAAATTCATCAATAACAATATATTTTAATGGACTCTTAAAAAAATCTTGAAAATCCAAATTGAATACTATTGGATTGTTTTTAAGTGACATAAAATTCTGATTGAATATCAATGGACGTTTTTACTCAAGAAAACGTCTTTTAAAATCCTACGAAATCATAAACCAATACACCCCGCTTAATATGTTCATCAACGACAATAAATAAATTCATCAATAACAATATATTTTAATGGACTCTTAAAAAAATCTTGAAAATCCAAATTGAATACTATTGGATTGTTTTTAAGTGACATAAAATTCTGATTGAATATCAATGGACGTTTTTACTCAAAAAAACGTCTTTTAAAATCCTACGAAATCATAAACCAATACACCCCGCTTAATATGTTCATCAACGACAATAAATAAATTCATCAATAACAATATATTTTAATGGACTCTTAAAAAAATCTTGAAAATCCAAATTGAATACTATTGGATTGTTTTTAAGTGACATAAAATTCTGATTGAATATCAATGGACGTTTTTACTCAAGAAAACGTCTTTTAAAATCCTACGAAATCATAAATCAATACACCCCGCTTAATATGTTCATCAACGACAATAAATAAATTCATCAATAACAATATATTTTAATGGACTCTTAAAAAAATCTTGAAAATCCAAATTGAATACTATTGGATTGTTTTTAAGTGACATAAAATTCTGATTGAATATCAATGGACGTTTTTACTCAAGAAAACGTCTTTTAAAATCCTACGAAATCATAAATCAATACACCCCGCTTAATATGTTCATCAACGACAATAAATAAATTCATCAATAACAATATATTTTAATGGACTCTTAAAAAAATCTTGAAAATCCAAATTGAATACTATTGGATTGTTTTTAAGTGACATAAAATTCTGATTGAATATCAATGGACGTTTTTACTCAAGAAAACGTCTTTTAAAATCCTACGAAATCATAAATCAATACACCCCGCTTAATATGTTCATCAACGACAATAAATAAATTCATCAATAACAATATATTTTAATGGACTCTTAAAAAAATCTTGAAAATCCAAATTGAATACTATTGGATTGTTTTTAAGTGACATAAAATTCTGATTGAATATCAATGGACGTTTTTACTCAAGAAAACGTCTTTTAAAATCCTACGAAATCATAAATCAATACACCCCGCTTAATATGTTCATCAACGACAATAAATAAATTCATCAATAACAATATATTTTAATGGACTCTTAAAAAAATCTTGAAAATCCAAATTGAATACTATTGGATTGTTTTTAAGTGACATAAAATTCTGATTGAATATCAATGGACGTTTTTACTCAAAAAAGTATTTAGTACGAGGGACAATTTTTTTAACAAGTAGCGTTGACTAACAGTGTGAAAAAAATTAACAAATAACAATAAACACTATAATATATCACTAAATTAAGATTGAAATTATAGAATATGATTGAATGTGGGTATTTTCTAATACAATTAAATACGAGTTTTAAGCCTTCTTTTTAATAAATGATTTTCCATTTACAAAATCTTGCACGTACTGTTTTCCATTATGAAAAGAAAAGAAAGAAAAAAAAGCCTTTTATATCATTTTTTTCAAATCTTAAATTTTCATGAAAACATTAATAAAAAATTTAAATGATTAAAATTAATAATTTATCTCCAACTATTATCAGTTCAAAAAATATTCATAATATTTTAAAATTTTAAATATTTTTAAAAAGTATTTATAATAGCTTACTAATTAAAATTTGTAAATTTAAATTTAATTATTTAACTTTAAATAATCCTAGTTTCAATAAAGCAATTTTAACAATATTGTAATAGCTTAAAATTTTAAGAAATCATTTATAACAACTTTAAAAAGTCAAAATAAATTATCAAAGCTTTCACATATTAAGATTTACATACTTAAACCAAAACATTAAAGTTTTAATGTTTAAGGAGACGGATCTACTATAACAGATAAAAAGGTTAGCCCATATAGTGTATACCCCCTTAGTTCAATGACTTCAAATAAACTTTTTTTCCAATTCTCTTTTTTCTGTAAGAGATCTCTTTTTCCAATCCTCAAAAACAACTAGAATGATCATTAGAGTTGGTTTAGTGGTAAGAAATTTAGGGCAGTATGTATAAATCTTATGTTTAAATCTTTATATCATTATTATAATTTTGATAAATAAAAAAAATAATTAAAATACGTATCTCTTGAGATTTTAGTGAATACTGACTTGAACTTGACAATGTGATTTTCCTCGATTTCACTTGAAATTTCTCAACTCTTAGCCAATTGCAATTTTCAAGTAATTCATTATTGTAATATTCTCTTTAATAAACCTTCATTCCATTTCTTTAATTACTTTGAAATCTATATAGTTCAAATTGTTGTTATATTTTTCTTTTATATGCCAAGAAAAAAATATAAAAATATGTTACAAATAAATCTTTTAATTAGGATGTTCTTTTATTAAAGGTTAAAATATTTTCTTTAGTTCATATAGTTCCACTTACTTTATCTTTTAGTCTCTTAGTTTTTGTATATAATTTTTTTCAATCATTCTTATTTCTTATAATTTAATATATATCTTTTTAATCTCTACACTTGCATAATGTTAGTTCTTTTAGTATTTATCATTAATTTTCTTTTGTAATGTCGTTTGTTTTGTATTTGTTGGCGTGATTAGTTAATCAACTAATCAAATCTTATTGATTAGTTAATCAGTTAACCAAATCTTATCTTTTATTGTAACATCAATTTATATTCTGGTATTTTTTGATATGGTTGTTAAAAATAACCTTTCTCACTATTATATAACATATGTATACAACTGTTGATAATCAATTCATAAAACTATTGTTGTGCATATTTGTACATGGTATCAGATTTGTCAATAGCTTAACACCTTGTTTTAATCCCAAATTTCTTTTGATGGCTTCCGCAAATGCCACCCTCCTTGTGAAAATTTCTACTGCAACCACCCATATAGATTTGTCAATAGCTTGTTCTGCATATTTATACAGTATTGTCATAATAGATGTCTTCAATTTTATAAATGTAAAAAAAAAAAAAAACTATCTCAACAATGAACGTTATATATAAGATTACAAAAGAGACACAAAATATTAAAAAACTAATTTAGAAAATTATAATAAAATAAATTTAACATCAGATATACAAAATTGAGTTAATACATCTATCACGTAAATACAAAAAAGATAACATTACCAAAAAAAATTATGAAAGGAACTAAAAGGATTAAAAATTGAAAATATAAGAATTAAAAAAATCTATCTTAAACTATAAAAACTAAAAAAGAGTGAAAAATATAAATGTAATACTAAAAATATCTATTTTAAGTATAGTTTAAAAATAAAGTAAATAAAATTATAAAAAAAATTATATTTTTTAACCTTTATCAAAATATTAATTATCACAATTCATTTCATACTTAAAAAGCATTTATATCATTTCATATCATATATTATACATATTTATGACATCTCATTTGTTTTATGTTTTTCCCATTTCACACATCATCAAAGAAAAGAAATTTGAGTGAACACTTACTTTGATATGTGAATTTGAAAGTATTATTATATTAATTATAAAAATTAATAAGTTATTAAATAAGTTTTTAAAATATTAAATAAATCTTTAAATATAACTATTTAAAATAATTCTTAAATAATGTACTTTTAAAAGAGTTTATAATTTCTTAGTTTACCAACAAATATGATAGAACCCTTCTAGATTAGTACCAACTTGGGTGTTGATCTTAAAGAAATTGTGAGATGGACACATCCAATGAGCTACTGCCAGCTCATTAAAAATATAATGAAATGCCTCCTCCCACTAACTGGGAGGCATATTCCAAATGATAGA